GATCTCTTATGGGATGGGCTTTTCAGGAAGAACTTTCAGCCTCTGACAGCTGTGGGGAGATCAAAGGGGCTGCCTAGGAAGTAATAAGCTCACAAACTTGAAGGTGTATGAACATCTGGGAGCTGTGCACAATCACCCCTCAGGTCTGCAGGGGTGGTCTTGTGTGGCCTACTGTGAAGCACCTTGGAGGACCAGATGGGTTTTGGCTGAGACCTTGGCCATGGTGGCCCTTGTCCTGTGGTCCTATTGTCCTTTCTGGTGGAGGTGGGACATGGCCACACCTTGGAGAATGGGTAAGGATTGTCAGTGACCAATGTGTGTAGACTTCAGTTATGCCTGGGTGGCCTGGTCCCTGTCACTTTTTCTGCCTTCCACCCCCCCATGGTCGTGCCACAGTGGGGCTCCGAGGGCAGACCAGTATTCAGCTGTCATTAAGGCCTTTGATGATGGGGAATAGGGATAAAAGGACTCCTCTCCTTCAGGAAGGCTGGGAACACACTCAACCACCTAAGAGAATGTGGCTCTCCCACACTGTGTGAAATACTCTTGGAATGTCCTCTCCTAAGGCACCGTATGACTCTGGACACATTGCTGTCCCAGTCTGGACCCTGGGTACCTATCTGTAAAATAAAGGGGCAGAGAAAGTAACCTCTACAGTATTTTATTTCTGGCATATGATGGCCCCCAATTTGCCCATTTATCAAGTCAAGGAATATTTATTGAACATCTTTTCTGTGCCGGGGCTTAACAGCAAATGGGAGGGCAAGACGTCTGCCTTCAGTGGGCTTCCTCTCTAGCGGAAGGATCTCCCATTAAACATGGAAGAATAGATTTCTTTCAAGGGAATTAACTGAGGAAAGCGCTAACAGGAAAGACAGAGTCCCAAACATGCCAGCCAGCAAGGGAACAGGCCATGCAGACAGAAGCAAGCCTAAAGAGATAATCGGGAGAGCTATTACTATCTTCACAGAAATCAAATATAGTATCCCTGAAGCAAGAGCGGGGTACAGCATGTTTTAAAGAGAACTTTCAGCAAATAAAAAAGAATCCTTGAAATTTAGCATGTATGCACCACTCTATGAGAAGCGTAGAATGGTAACAGAGAGCAGACCTCCTCGAAACAGGCACTGGAAGGCACAGAGATGCGACAAAGGAGGGGAAGGACCAGGAAGTGAGGGGTCCCTCCGGAAAGCACCACATCGGGTTAACTGGGGCTCCAAGAAAGAGAACAGAGAAAATGGAGGTCAGGAAATAGTAAAAGAGTCCATCAAAAACTTGCCCAGAGCTGGAGAACATGAATTTCCAATTCGAAAGGGCAGGCCCTCAGCAAGGCACAGCACCATGGATTATCAGCACAAGGGGACAGAGCAGGTCCTACAGGCTTCCAGAAGGACACGTCCCAGCTGGCGGGCACAGGATCGATGCCCCACCGGCCAGGGAGCCCCCCCAAACCAGCCCTGGAAGCAACAGCAAAGCAACGGCTTCAAAGGGAGGGCCCCCCATTAACGTTGTGGGGACGAGATCTCCCTCTAGAGTTCTATACCCAGCCCGACTGTCACAGGGAGGGGCGGCACCAGAGTCTTCAGACAGGCGGGTCTCTGGACACCCCTCCACGAACCTTCTCTGGAAGGTGTTGGAGGGCTGGTTCTGCCAAAGGAAAAGTGGAAACTAAGAAGGGGAAGATGTGGGATCCAGGAAGCAAGAGGTCCCAGCCCCAAGAGCTGAGTAACGGACCCCTGAGCATGGAGGTGGGCCATCCCCTATGCCCGCAGCCCGGCCGCCGTCCAAATAAACCGGATGGGAGCAGGTGCGAAGGCTCAGGGAGAGATTCTCCAAGATAAGACTGACACAGTACTTCATGTGTTTACTTAGATTGAGAGGACATTTACCCAACTCAGGGAGTGGGGAACTGAATTGATGATAAGCATAAAACACAAAAAACCAAGCCCCCTCTCCCACACCCAGATAAAGACAATTAACTCCAGAGAAAATAAGAGTTGTCAAAAAAGACAGTAAGAGCTCTGCAGAAAAAACAAAGAGGTCCATGAGGACAATTAATGGAGGAACCTTCTCTAGCTTTAGTGGTCTCAGAAGGGGCTGCTCCAATGAAATGATGTTTAATGGAAGCCTGAAATGCTAGAAGGTTCCAACCATAGCAGGAGGGTCTAAGGGTGAGGGTGGGAAAGATCTTCACACTCTAGGCCAGGTGGAGACCATGAGCTCCCTGGAGCATCTCAGAGGTGGCACTGCCCTTGTGGGAGTGAGGTGGTGCAGGGGCTCTACAGAAGCACAATGAAGTCCCTTCCACCAGGAAGCCCTCTGTGACTGACACTGAGGGCGCTGTTTCTCCCCTCTGGTGTACTGAACTCTGGATGTGTGTGCGTCCAGCCTCTCTAGTGGACCCACCACATTCAGGATTTTCCCCCAGATTCTCCAGCGCAATAATGACAGTGCCAGACAAGGCTTTCCTGCAATGGGACAGAACTCAGACTTTGAGAACATTCTCTGAGTTGGGTATCAGATTGGGGTGTTTTGCAGGGGGCACACTGTGCTCACCAGGACTTCTGCAGCCTCGCTTGTTGACAGGGGAAACGGGGTGTGATGAGCTGTAATGAGGGCTCCCCAGGGATGTTTTCAGCCAAAGACGGTACCGTTTGTCTTGGCCCAGCCAGGAGGGTAAGTTGAGTCCTGAGCAGAATTCAGCCAGGTACATAGACAGGAGGAGAAAGAAGGTTGCAGGAGAGGGACTGAGGGATTATGAATAGGCTTATGGTGTGGAGGGCAAAATTTTCCAGTCTATGAAGTGCTTTTGGGGGGGTCTCCCATCTTTTGGTTTCTCCTTGTTTTGGCTCTCTTATTTTGGGCCTCTTTCTCCTCCCCATCCCCACTCCTCTGAGCCCTCCTGTGTGGGAAGAAAGGTCAGATACCCTCATCCTGGAAGCATATGTCCCTTCCACACAGTTAGCATGGGGACAGTGGAGCCCAGAGGGAAGTGTCTTACCCGCCCCCCCAACCCAGACATGCAGCACCAGTGCTGGGATTTCAAGCACTGTGGGAGGACACAGAGAATATTCTGGAAGGAATGGGGCCCTCAACCTCATCCCCTGCCTGTCGGGTGGGCAGTCCTGGGTAATGGAACTATCTTTGTGAGCCTGGGTATTTCAGAATCCCAGCCAGGGGAACTGAAGCCCGACCCGGTTCCTGTCCTGAGCTTTCTGCTATGGGGTTCAGAGCCTTGTTCCCCCCTCTGCCTGCTTCCCTGACCCCACCCCACCTGGCACGGCAGGGAGCCAAGTCTGGCGCCTGGGAGCCTTGGGACCTCTCTGGACATGTGTTTAGAGCAGCCTGGCCTCAGAGCCAGCAGGCAGGCCTGACACAGACGAAGAAGATGTGTTTTCTTACAAAAACAAGACAAACATCTTGGCTTCTTTCTGAGGAGTTGGAGCCTGGCGGGCTTTTCACACACTTTAGCCTTGTCAGCTTTTCACTGGAATACACCATCACCCACACAGACACATGGACACAAAGACACACACCTCTACACAGAGACACACCTCCTCCCCAAATACACACATAGTTTCATACCCGGACAAATGCGGAGATAACGCACAAAGACACAGTCTCACGCCTACACAAACATAACTCAAACTTTCACAAACACAGAAATTCACACACACGGTCTCACACCTACATCCACACAAACACACAAACTTACGCACACGCAGAAAAGTCACACACATGTGCATACATGAGCACTCACATGGCCCCAGCTTGGAGAAAATTCCCCCTCCCTTTTTCTTTTGTTTGAAGTGCTATCAAAAGTTTCCCACCTTCCATGAGATCCGATTCTTAGCCTTCGCTCCATAAAAATCCTTCCAGCCCCATCTTCCGTTGGGTCCTATCCAGCTAGTGCTGTGTCTTTAAGGAAGTTGAAGCTGCTAAAAGTGAGTGAGAGAGAGAGGGAAAAAAAAAAAAGGAAAAAAATTGGCATCTTTTCCCCCTCAAGTTTCTGGTGTCACTTATGAAACACGGGTCCTTGTTGCAGAGAAGTAGTTGTTTTGCTAAAAGGAGGGAGTGTCCAGGCTGCCTGGGCTCCCTTCCTACAGCGTCCTCTCAGCAAGGCCCCAGGCATCCTGTCCGGGGAACAGCGGGCACGGGAGAGCAGCTTCAAAGTGGGGCAGGAACCAGGCTGCCCCTTCCTCCAGCCTCCTCGTCCTCCCTTGGGCAACCTTGGCCCTGCAGCCTGCCCTGGGCTGACTCTGTCTTTTGTTGCTCTCTGGTTCCATCTTAGAAGAGGATCCACTTGGCTAAGAAAGAGTAGTTTGAAGGTAAGCCAGCGGTAAAGTGGGGGGAGGCCTGCTGGGCACAGGGGCTGGACTGCCTGGTACTTTCCTGTCTGTTCAGGGTGCTTGGGACAATCCCTTGTTTGGATCTGTGCGCAGGCATCTGCCCGCCAGCAACCGCAGCCCCGGAAATCCCAGCAGCATTTGGGCTGAGCCACTGGCCTCGCCCAAGCCAGCTGAGAGGTCCGGGCGGCGGTAGTTTATTTAGGCAGCTGCCTGGCTCAGTTTGAACAGAACAGGCCACAAATGTGATCCTGTAGAAAGAGTTCAGAATCCGCTGTGGTCAGAGCCTGTAGGAGCAGCAGGGGGGCGGTTGGGGTGGATGCGTGGTGTGCACTGCACAAGGGGCCTTGTCTGGGCTGGGGCAAAGCATACCTATGGGGGGCTCCGATGGGAGGGACTGTGGCCAGGATGTGGGAGGGCAGGAGGGAGGTTCTGCGGAGTGCTGGGGGAGGGGGTGGCTGAAAACGGATTTCAAGTCATAAAGTCAGCTTGGAGCTGGCCGAGGCAGGGAGAGCTCTCTGCTTGGAGGAGGAGCTGAGGTCCTCTTCTGTCCCGTCTTCGCCTCTTCTGGCTGCATGAGCTCGGGCAAGTCCTGGCCCTTCTTTGGGCCTCAGTTTCCCTTTCTGTAGAATGGGCTGTGGGCTAGGTGGTGCTGGGTCTTAGTTGGATTCTGTGGGGCAGGACCTTCTGATGGGTAAGAGCCCTGTCTGGCTGAGGTCCTAAGAGGGACGAGTGCCTTGCGTGGGTCCTCAGGGTCACTTTGGCGGCATGCCCTTCTCTGCAGGAGGTAGGATGCGGGAGCTACATCTGCTGTGCTGGGCGGTCCTCCTGGGCCTGGCACATGCCTGTCCTGAGCCCTGCGACTGCGGGGAGAAGTACGGCTTCCAGATCGCCGACTGCGCCTACCGTGACCTGGAGGCCGTGCCACCGGGCTTCCTGGCCAACGTGACCACACTGAGCCTGTCCGCCAACCGGCTGCCGAGCTTGCCAGAGGGGGCCTTCCGGGAGGTGCCCCTGCTGCAGTCGCTGTGGCTGGCGCACAATGAGATCCGGGCGGTGGCGGCCGGTGCTCTGGCCCCTCTGGGCCACCTCAAGAGCCTGGACCTCAGCCACAACCTCATCTCCGACTTTGCCTGGAGCGACCTACACAACCTCAGCGCCCTCCAGTTGCTCAAGATGGACAGCAACGAGCTGACCTTCATCCCCCGGGACGCCTTCCGCAGTCTCCGCGTCCTGCGCTCACTGCAGCTCAACCACAACCGCCTGCACACGCTGGCCGAGGGCACCTTCGCCCCACTCACCGCGCTGTCCCACCTGCAGATCAATGACAACCCGTTCGACTGCACCTGTAGCATCATGTGGTTCAAGACGTGGGCCCTGAGCACAGCCGTGTCCATCCCGGAGCAGGACAACATCACGTGCATGTCGCCCCGCGTGCTCAAGGGCACCCCGCTGAGCCGCCTGCTGCCACTGCCCTGCTCCGCACCTTCCGTGCAGCTCACCTACCAGCCCAGCCAGGACGGCGCCGAGCTGCGGCCGGGCTTTGTGCTGGCCCTCCACTGCGATGTGGACGGCCAGCCGGCACCCCAGCTTCACTGGCACATCCAGACGCCTGGCGGCACCGTGGAGATCACCAGCCCCAACGTGGCCGCCGATGGGCGTTCCCCGCCCAGCGCCCCGGTGCCCGGCAGCCGGCCGCGTTTCCAGGCCTTCGCCAACGGCAGCCTGCTCATCCCCGACTTTGGCAAGCTGGAGGAGGGCACCTACAGCTGCCTGGCCACCAATGAGCTGGGCAGTGCAGAGAGCTCTGTGAACGTGGCGCTGGCCACGCCTGGCGAGGGCGGCGAGGACACGCTGGGGCGCAGGTTCCATGGCAAAGCGGCCGAGGGGAAGGGGTGCTACACAGTGGACAATGAGGTGCAGCCCTCAGGTCCGGAGGACAACGTGGTCATCATCTACCTCAGCCGCGCTGGGGGGCCCGAAGCTGCAGCAGCAGGGGAAGGGGTCTCTGGGCAGCAGTCCCCCGGCCTGCTCCTGCTGGGCCAGAGCCTCCTCCTGGCCTTCCTCACCTCCTTCTAGCCTTCCCCCATGCCCCCTCCCTGGGCAGGGCTGGAGCTCCGCCAGGGCTTCCCTGACTCCGCCCCCCACGCCTCCGCAGATGTCCCCTGGAAGTGGCACAGGGGGCCTGAGGGGGGCAACTCCCAAGGCCTGCATGGGGGACTCCACATCTTCCTACCTCCCGTCTCATCTCTTCTGGAACACTCGCCACCCCAACTTCTAAACTCGCTGGAAGCTAGTGACTAGAACAGAATCCGATTCCGTACTCACCAACTTTGGTGCTAAATGCTGCTAACCACACTGCTCATGCTCCCCTAGCAGGGTGATGCCTTAACCACCCGAGGAAGCCTCAACAATGGCATTCCAGGCACTGGGACCAAAGAGCTGGCAAAGGCCGGGGCACGCTGTTGGGGCTGGGAGCTCGGCAGGGAGGTACCCTGAAGCAGACAGGGCACAGGAGAAAGGAATAAGGTCTTGGGGCAGTGGCTGGCATGGCTCTGGGCTCTTGGTGTCCCTCTTGAGCTCTTGCTGCCTTTTGGCATTCTCTTATGATTTGGGGGCTCAGGAATCTGTGCTCTCATCTCAGAGAGGGCTAGAGGATCCAGGATGGCCTTCCTCTTTTCCCGCCCTGTACCCCTCCACCCCAGACTCCCGTCCTGCCTTTCTGTCCAAGTATGCGTCTGTAGCCTGTCCCTCCAGAGAGGCTAGCCATCCCAGGGGGTGACTGAGAAATAAACAGCATTTCTGATGCTCTCTTGTGTCTGCCTGGCGTTTTGTCTGAATCTAGGACCCCTCCCTACCACCCCGTTGGGAAGAGGATAGGGAGCTGGAGAGTCAGGATGCCCAGGCTGCTGGTCCACCAGTGACGGGGCCCATGAGACGCACATAGACTGGATAGCAGGCAACACAAGAGGGGTGGGCCCATGGGCCAGGGGCTGGGCTGAATGGCAGTGGTACCCTCTCTTCAGGACAAATGGGGGTGTGGGCCTGATAACCATTACAGAAGCTTCCCTAGGGTCCTGGTGGCCCTGAGCCGTGCTTCCTGCCAGCAGTGGGAAAGGGAACAGGGAATGGGAATACCCGTACTGTGGACCCTCTTCCAGGTCCTGCTCCTGGAAGAGATGGTAGGAAATGGAGAGGAAATGGGGGGGGGGGGCTGATAAGGCAAGATGGAGAGGGAAGAGAGAGGAGGAGATGGGGGCACAGGGCAAGGGAGAGAGAAAGACACAGAGACAGAGAATAAGAGAGCGTCTTCCAGGGGGAAGCCGGAGGAGATGAACAAAGCTTTCCAGGAAGAAGAAATGGTATTCCTGGAGGAAAGTCTGCCCTTGGGTCTTCCCCACATAGCAGGTGGACCAGTGGGGGGGTTGGGGGGGTGAGGTCTTGGCAGCAACCTGCGGGTCTCTTAGTGTGGGGAGCAAGTACATGGAGTCAGAACCTGGAGACTGATCCCTGTATCTGTGCCCAGCCAGAGATTTGTCTCCGTCCCCACCCCTTTCCAGACTGAAGGGTGCCACCCACAGGGACAAGAACCGCCCCCTCCCACCCCCATCCACAGGATAGGTTCTGTGGCCTCCCATGCTCTGTGCTCAGGACTGTTGAGCCCACCAAAATGGAGGCAGGGAGGCCAAGGAGACTGGGGTTGCAGCTGTGAGCCTTGGAGGATGGCCAGCTCCCCTTCCCCCTCCTCCTTGTCCCCAGGCGCACCTCCCCCAACCCCCTCAGCAGCTCCAGACTCTGGCTGAGCTGATGTCACCAGCAGCACATGTCAAGGTTATCTGCGCATCTGGTGGAAAGAGCAGGATGGAGCCAAGTCCCCTGTGCTGGGCTGCCTTGGGCAAATCACTGTCCATCTCTGGACTTTGGTTTCCTCAGAAAACAAGGGATGGGTAGGATGCTTAAGGATCCCATCGACTCTGATTATCTAAGGCTGGATATCCAAACTCAGCTTGGACCCCTGACTTCTCTGGCTCCATTCAGAGCAGAGCGGGCTTGTCTTCTGGAAGTGGGACCTGAGTCAGAGGCAGCTGGGGAACAGCTGTGCTCTGAATGAACTAGCAACTCCCCTGCTTGAAAGTCATCCATGGCTCCCCCGGCCCTCAGGGTGAAGCCCAAGTTCCCCAGCGAGCCATGCATCACCCCTCTGCATGATTCTTCCGTGCCTCTCTTGGACCTGTTAACTAATTGTTCCTTCAATCGTCTGTGATGTGTTACCCTCCACACCTTTATGTATGTCATTCCTTTGGTCTGGACACCCTTCCCCTCTTTTTCACTTGGCTAATTCAGCTCAAGCGCCACCTCCTCCAGAAAGCCTTCCCGGATGCTGTACCCTCTACCTCCCAGTGTGGATGAGGTCCCCTCCTCTGGCTCACATAGCCCTGTGTGTCCAGGGTCACGGCCTTATCGTACTCTACTTTGTCTGCTTCCTTGTTAAGGGCAGAGACCCGGTCTGCCTTCTCATCCCTGTGACCCTGCCAGTCACCAACATGGGGCCAGGAAGATATTTTTCAATGGACTGCAGTAGGATCAGAGCCTGCCCTCTTTGCCATCCTCGTGGGCAGCCTCAAAGGTGGGTGTGAGCTCCCGGGCCCCACCCCTCGCTTTATGTGTGTCTGAGGCTGGAGTGGTGACGCAGGAGGAGGGGCGAGGAGAAAGGCTGGTCTCCACTAATTGTGTAGACATCAAGGCCCCATGGACCCAGATCTGTGGGGTGGCCACGTTTTCCCCACCTGCTCCCAGGCCCACAGTGGAGCCCACACCTTCAGTCATGCATCCCCCACCCCCGTGAGTCCCCAGCAAGGGAAGGGACCACCTCCCACAGCTGTCCTTCCCCACTACATGATTGGTCTATTCCCTTTAGGACAGCTCTGCCCTGTGCCTCCCTACTGCCTCCACACCTTTATTCAGAATGCTCCCCATTTTCCTGAAAGTTCTCCTCCTCAACTCCTCCCCATTCTTGACAACCCAGAAAAAGTTCTCCCTCCAAAGCCAAAGTCCACATATCTCAGGGGTGACGCCATAGGGTCCCCAGTCCCTCTATCTCCCAAAGGGATTCGGCTATTGGTTCCCTTCTGCCCCGCACCGTGTGGCCAGCCCCCCATGGGACCAGAATACCCCACCCCCCCAAGCCCCATGAATGCAGTGATTTACCAGTAGTTGGGGCAGTTTCCCCCCACGTACCCCACCCCCCGAGGAGGACTGTTTCTCAGGGACAAGTTTATTACAAAGAGCACACTAACCTCTTTCATAATATCTAAAGGCACAGCAATAGCAAAAATACCAGGCTCTCAAGTGTGGCCAGCTCCGTGTGGGGCCTGGCTGGAGCCATGACGTTGCTGCCCGGCAGGAGCCCATGGCCTCCTCCTGGGCTGCCTGGCAGGAGGGACGAGCCCCCCCCACCCCCAGAGGAGAGGGGGAAGGTGGAGGAGAGAGGAGGCTCTGTGTCTAGTTCCGTGGTGGTGACTCCAAGGCTGAGGTGAGGCTGAGCCAGATCATGAGGCTGGACTGGCCTGACTCACCAATCCCAGTGAGGAGACGGTTCCGTGAGCAGAGGTCAGTGGCAGAGCCAGCACGGAGAGGGGACGGGAGGTGGCCGCCCCAGTTCTACTGATGCCCTAGACAAAGGGCCTAAACCTCAGATTACTTCCTCCAGAGCCCTCGCCTGCTTCCCAAGACCAAGGGGCCCTACTAGAGTCCTCTTGAGGGTTAGGTCGGAACTCCTGCTGGGGACAGACCTGCACCCGACCACAGCGCCCCCTGGCGTCTGGGGCTGGCAGCCGATGATGAGCCCGGGGCCTCCTCAGGGAAGCCACAGTGACAGAGAGAGGCCAGGGAGGCTGGGAGGATGCTGGGGAAACTAGGAAGGCGTGCGCTGGGAGGAGGGGGAGCACTTCAGCCCTGACAAGGACACAGCGGCTTCCCCACTCTCAGGGCTGGGCTCCATTGACCTAGGCCCCTGACAGGGCCCTCTTCCGGAAGGCCTGCAGGGCAGGATTGTGCAGAAGCGTGTAGGCCAGCCCCCAGCGGGCCCTGCCTTGACGGGCCCTGGGCCCTGCTCCCCTGGCCATGGCGTCCTTGGTCTGCAGCAGCTGCATCCCTGAGAGAGAAAGACTTTCTGTGAGTCACTCAGCAAACACCAGGCCACGCCCCGTGAGCAGTCTGAAAATCCCAGAGGTAGGGCTGGGGAGGCTGGGGAGCCTGGGGCCCCAGGGGCCTGCTCACTGAGCAGGAGGTGGAGAGACGTGTGGGCTGTAGAGGGGTGTTTGTGAAGGCGCAAGATGTCATCCTGCAGGTAGGGACAGAAGGAGGGGACAGCTCTGTGGAGAGAGCTGGAGGAAGGGCTGGGACAGCCAGCTCAGTGCCCCCCTCCCTGCTGCACACTTTCCTGGCAGTGAGGAAGGGGTAAGACCTCTCATTCGGTGTGTGAGAAGGCGGGATGTATGCTGACTTGTGGAATGGGGAGAGGGAGACAGAGTATGTATGTGTGTATCGTGGACAAAAATTACTCTGAGAAGGACCAGGAAACTTCTCACTTCCTTTCTCCCACAGGTGGTGGAAGGAGAGGGGAAGTAAGCATTTTTCTGGCCCTCACTCCACAGTAGGTCGGACAGGCATCCCATGTGCTGGGAAGAGGTGAGCCTTGTCCCTCAGAGAAGAGGGTGGTCTACATTCCTGCCCTCCCCCGTGGGAAGGTGCACCTTCTTCTTCCTGCCCCTGTGTGAGGCCATCCTGGGGGACCCGGGGAAGACGAGGCCGCTGGGTCTGCAGAAGCAGGGCACAGAAAGCCGTGGTAGCCGGGTGCGACTGGCTGGCCTCGATCTTCAGGAAGCCGCAGTATGTGTGATAGCCTGGGTGGGGAAGGGGGGTGGAGGACAGCAGTGCTGGGGGGAGGAGAGCCTGCCCCACCAGCCGCTAACACATGCACAGGAGGTACCTCCCGGCACCAGAGCAGGTGGCACGTGCAAGACACATGGGCCTGCTGCCCATGCCCACCCTGTGTGGTCACAGACGGGCTCCGGGGCACAGTCCCACTTGGCCAAGGTCAGGGCCAGACCCTCCCTCACTCTTTGTACAGCCCAAGCCGTTGTGGTTCCCGGCCCCTGCCCAGCGACCTTACCGGGGTCGAGAGTGGCTGCCCGAGGTGGCAGCAGGCTGAGATCCATCTGGCCAAGGTGGACAGCATTGTAGACAGCAGAGAGAAGCACACGCCAGGCAGCCACCATGGCGCCCACCAGCACGTTGATGAGAAAGAGAAAGAAGGTGGCTGCATAGAGCACTCGCCTGGGGGTGAGGAGAGGAAAAGCTGAGGCTGGCCCCCTCCCCCTGCCACATGCAGACCCACTTCCTCAAGTCAGGGTCAGACCTGGATGAGCACAGCTGCTGTGTGTTTATCGACCACCTACCATTTGTCGAGTGCACCTTCTAAGCACCCTGCCTCGTGCTGGGCCTGCTCTCTCAAGCCAGCTTCTCCGAACCACCCTGGGATATGTGTGTGGTGCTCCTTCTATAGTAGGGAAACCAGGGCCCAGAGAGATCAGGTGGCTTAGCTAAGGCCATCCAGCTAGTCAGCGGCAGAACTGGGGCTTATGGTCTGGTCTTTCTGTCTCCCACCTCCCTCCTCTAGGTCCCTTGTCCACTGACTCTGAATCCCTCCTGGCACTGAGGTCCTCCCACTGCCCTTCCACCTAATATGGAAATAATGTTTCTATTAACCTCCTTCCTGCAAAGGGGGAGGCATATGGTTTTGGGGGGCACAGATGATCCAGAGGAGAGCAGGGCTGACCCCCAAAGCAAGAAAGGTTCATAGAGTATTTCTGGCACTGTGACAGGTGAAGAGAGAGATTCCGGAGTAAGCTGGGCCACTGTTCCCTTTCCGTTTGGGTAAGGCAAACTCTCCCACTCCCCACTGGGCTTCCCAAGAGAGAAAAGGGGCAGATGACAGTGGAGGGAGAAGGACCCAAGAAAGACACCAAAGGAAGAGGCTGAAGTCCTAAGGGGACCACAAACCCAGGATCCTCACCGGTTAGTAAGCTCTGGGTATCCATGGTGAGTCTCCAGGAAGACCCACTGGGCTGCCATTTTCTGTAGGACCACAGCCAGGGCCAAGGTCAGCCAGAAGGGCCTGCAGTTGGGGCGGGGAGGTTGTCACTATTAGTAGCTCTCTGGGAAGTGGTCCCAGAGCCCTCAGCTCCTTGCCTCTCTCACCACGAGGACTCCAGGGATCGGAGAAGCAAGAGGTTCCTGCCATGGAGCACAGGCATGAACACCAGGAAGGCAAGGGTCGTGGTCCCCAGGAAGAAGACGATCTGCTGCACCAAGAGTCCTGCAGTTTGGGAAGGCACAGAGGGATGGACATCAGGCTCCACGGGACCCAGCCGCCCCTGGCACTCAGGAACCCAAGGGCTTAGGAATGATGCAAACCTGGTAGAGATCCCTGCTCTGCCACTGCCTAGCTGTGCCAGCTGGAGCAAGTTACTCTACCTTCCTGAACTCCCATTCTTCCTCTACCTCAGAAGGCTTTTGGGGACAATCCAATATAGGATTTTTGGGATGATCCCCAATTCTGGGGCCAGGTTCTGCAGCAACTCTTTGAAAACAAAGTGCTCTGTAAATGTGATTTCCCCCCCAGTTGCCCCTGAATCCTTGGAGACAAGATTGCATTTTAAATTAATGTTTGCCTTCCTACTGGCCAGAGCCTGGCACACAGTTATCACCAGAAAGCCGTCTATTGAAACAACTGGCTAGTTGTTTACACGGTGTAATGCGTACAAAAGAGCTTGGGAGGTATAAAATTTACCAAGGTGAAGAATTACAACTTTTGGGCTGGTCATTCCTCTTCTCCTTTATCATTCTTCTCCTCCTCACCCAGGGAGTGAGGACTGAAGGAACCATCAGGAAGGGGAACCTGACCCCAGCCCCCTCACATCTCAGAAGGTTTTATTCACTGTACCACCCCTGGGAAGGCTCAGAAACTTGGAGGTAGGAGGGGTTGCGGAAATTAATCTAACCTAACTCCCTCAGGGCAGGACCCCCTTTGCAGCCCCAACAATGACCACAGATGTACCCCTGGTGAAAGAGATCTCACTAACTTAAAGGCAGCCCATTGGAGTATAACACTCTCTTATATAAGCAGGAATATGCCTCCTTGAACTTTCCACCTTGCAACCCTGGGTCCACCCTCTGTGTAAATGGCTGGTGGCCCTTAGGGGCTATCCTCATTGGAGGAGCATTCCTTCCCCAGGGGCTTCTGCACTACCCCTCCTCCCTGAACCTGAGCAAGCCTCCTGAAGGGAGAGAAGGCAAGGTGGGTCCCTCTTCTTACTCCCACCCCAGAGTTTGCCCCAGCACAGGCGGACACCCAGGGGCAGCCAAGACCTGCTGAGTGCTCTCTCCTCCCCAACTGGGGCCAGTTTCTGGAGCCAGCTGAAGCCAGGTGGGGTGACAAGGGGGGCTCACCAAGGCAGGTAAAGGCAGTCTGGTAGGCGTTGAAGCTCATCCAACAGAATATGGCCTGGCGGGAGAGGTGGGGACCCTGGGGTAGGGGGCCCAGGTCCAGGGCAGCCCCTCGGTACAGAGCTTGAAGGTTGGCCCTGGTTGGGGAATTGGGGGTGGGGTGGGGAGGAAGGCAGAGATCTCAGGGACCACACATACTCCCCAGGTTCCTCCTCTGGTGGAACCCCTTGTCTGCTCACAACATGTGGCCATGGACAGGAAAGCCAAGGGCTGTGGGAGCCCTGCAGAGGTTACTAACCCGGCCTGGGAAGTCAGGTAGGGCTTCCTGGAGGAGGTGGGATCTGTGTAGCATCTTAAGGGATGAATAAGAGGAAGTTTCAGAGCAAAGCAAGGGGCAAGGCCAAGATCAAGGGAGACAAGTTCAGGCAGAAGGCTCTGACCTGAGCCAAGTCAGAAAAGCAAGGAAATAACAGTAGGAATGGAAAGGACTCGCAGATTGGCCACCAGAGCAGGAAGCAAGGTTCCAGGCATGCAGAGGCCTGGGGGCCTGAGTGCCAGCTAAAGAAGGACCAACCCTGTGGGAAGAGATCCCTGAGCAAAAACTCTGAGGCCTGCCCTGACATTGCTCCCCTTCCCACGCACCCTGCTCACAACTAGAACCTTCTCTCCCTCTTCAATTCCAACTCAGCTCTGTCTCGCTCCCCACTAAAGGGCAAACGAGACTGTTTGGCCTTCAGTGGTCCATCACAGCCCCTTCAACGCCCCAGCCCCGGCTGGGTCACCTCCACAGCCACCCTGGCATGTGGCAGCCTCGCCCCTTGCTGCTGCTCCCACCCATAGCACCCTCCCCCACCCTCAGCTCTTGCCTCTTCTTCCGATCCCAGGTGGAGGGCTGGCTTTCCAGGCTGCCTTCCCCACTGAATCAGTCCACCAAGGTAGTCCCTTCTCAGAGGTCCAAGTCCACACCCCCACCCTGGTCAGCTGAACCCTGTATCACTCCCACCAGACTGGAAGGCCCCACCTTCTCCACCCACCACAGGGCCACTGTGGGCGGGGGGCCGGGGGGGGCGCATAGGGACAACCTGGGCCCGCAGTGACTCTCCCTCTGTCCAGCCCCAGGCCCGGCCCCCATAGGCCTCCTGGCTCCAGGCCCCCGCACCTCTCCCCAACACTTGCACCAGGCATCAGACCCTGCCACTGACCTGTGCGTCACCAGCGAGCGGATCAGCATGAGGGAGGTGAGCGAGAAGGACAGGACCAAGGCCGAGATGTAGCAAACTGGAGGGGGGGAGAGGGAGCAAAGTGGGAAGTGGGAGCCCCTGAACTAGCCCCCAGGGTGGGTGCCCGGGTGGGAGTTACCCCTGCCACCTCCCCCTGCCTGCCTCGTTCTCGTATAACTCAACCATCTCAACCCTCCCCTCCTGCCCAGTGACATGGTGGCCGGGACAGGGAGAGGACAACTCAGATCTGCAGACCTGGTCTCCTCCCTTGTCTTGCTGCTCCCATGGCTGTGTGATCCCCAGAGAGACACCATCCAACCTGGCAACTGCCTCTGTCTCCTCACCTTCCTGGCCATATGGCCTTCAGGGGGCCCCTTGGTTTTCCAGCCTCGACTTGCTCACGCGGGCTGCCCATCCCCCAGCATGACATGGGCCATAAAACCCCATAGGCTGTGAGTGCACATCAGTGTGCCCTGTGTCCATCAGAAGGAGGGAGGTGACTGCTGCTACCCATCTCCTCTGGCTGGGCCCCTCCTGCCCAACTCCCCTCTGCCCCCATCCCCCCAGCCATACCCACACTTAAGAATTTGCTCACAATGTACAGGGAGTTGTGAGCAGAAAGGCCCAGCGGGGATTTGAGGCTGCAGCTCGCCTGCCCTCCATCCACACCCAGCCTCAGTCCATTCGCTTACAACAACCTCATCAAAGAAGAGGCACTAGGCCCACCAGGAAGCCGAGGCTCAGCGAGAGAGCCTGACCCGCCAGTCACACTGCTGGCAAGTGAAGGGCTGAGACCTGTGACTATTTCCAAACCGACCCAGACTCAGCCCCGGGTGCCTGCCCCCTGATCTCATCGGTCATGCCAGGGGAGTACTGCCAGGGCCGGCGTCCCATGCAGAGACTCAGGAGTGGGTGCAAACCCACATGGAGTCCCACGTAGCCTCAGTGCCGGAGAGAGGGGTCTCGGCACTGGCAGCACAGCAGGGACACCTGGAGCTGTGAAAACCCCTCGCGGCCCGGGGGGCATCCTAGGCCAATTCAATCAGATTTTCTGGGTGTAGAACCCAGTCCCTGGCTTTTGTAGTTTTGTGTGCAGCCTTAGGGTTAAAGGCCATTGTTGGTGGGGGGGGCTTTCCAAAGGCAGAGACTTCATGATTCATTTCAACCAGCAATTGACTGAAATCAACCAACCCACCCGCAGGTCTGGAGCACCTGCTATAGCGGTTCTCAGAGCTAGGCTCGCATGGGGATCCCCAGGCCGGCTTGTTCCATCATAGGGACGGGGCCCCACCCTCGGCATTTCTGGAGTCCAGCGCAGCTCGAGCCTCCGGATTTTAAAGAAGTTACCAGGCCCTTCTCAGGTGCAGCCAGGGTCGAGAACAATGCTACAGAAGAGAGCACTGGACGTGTGCAGCTCTGCTCAGCCCCGCCTGCCCTTTGGGAGCCCCCCCTCAGCGCCGGGAGGAGGGCGTTCTGGTCTTTTCCTGCCAGGCGAGGAGCCCGCCTGCTGACCCTGCGCAGGTGAGTGAACGGGTTAACACAGCATGGAGGGAGAGCAAGCCCCCTCAAGCCAGCTAGGCTTTTGATCTTCATCCATCTACCTCCTGCTCCTCTCTCCCTAATTGGTTCCAAACTTGGGTCTCTCCAAACCCTGGTACCCATAAAATCTTCCTGCTCTTTGCTTCCTCTGGAACTCTGCTTGGTAGACAGACCTGCCTTCCCACAGGGGATGGAGGGCCTCAGGGACAAGGCTGCCTTTGCAACTTCGACACCTGTTTTACGGTAGAGAGACTGAAGTCCAGAGAAGTGAGTGACTTGCCCAAGGTCACACAGCTTATAAGTGATGGAGCAGGAGTTTTCATCTAGTTCTAACCTAGTCTGCTCTCTATGAGTGATGCCAGGCTTGTGGTCCAGGTGCCCAGCGGGCAGCCTCAAACAGGCTCTCGGAGTTCAGAAGACATTACTCCTTAAGCCAAGGACTCACCAAGGGTCCCTGGGCCCAGATGTAATCTCAGTTCCAACCCTAGTTTGCTGAGCAGCTTTGGGTATAGCTCTAACCCTCCTGGGCCTCAGTTTTCCTCATCTGTGGACTAGGAGAGTAAACACTGCTCTGTTTGGCCCCCCCCAAAACGGGGAAGATCCGAAGCGGAGGCCTTGAGGCTTGGAAACCAGCCTGCAGTGTTAAATGTCGGGGTGGGGGATAAAAGCAAAGCCCAGCATCCCAGACAGGTCGTTTCCTGCCTCTAAGCCTCCATTTCCTGTTCTGGAAGATGAGGACTGATGAGGCAGACTTAACAGGGCTGGCTGCTGTGAGCAGGGAGCCGACCCTGGATTCGGGCTAAGGTGGACCATGTGGGCTCCTGCCTGTGGTCCGTCTTGTGGCCAACTTCAAGAAATCTCCCAGGGGCTCCCAAGTCAGCAGAGGCCGCCGGCCCCAGGATTCCTGACCACTAGGCTTTGTCTGAAGGTGGTAGAGAGAGACCCAGCAAGGTGGTCAGGAGGCCGTGTTCCTCCCTTTGCTCCACTCTGCCTTGCTGAATGACCCCAAGCCAATCCTTCCCCATGTGTCAGGTGTGGACACTTCTCAGCCTCTTCTACAGAGGCTATTGGGAGGGCCTGGGAGGTGGTGTAGGCTTAGCCAGACTAAGGGCTGAAAGAGACATCAGACCCCAGAAGGGAAGGCTGGTATGGTCCCCTGGCCAGGGGGCAGAGGGCTCATTGTCAAGGGAGGAAAGGAGAATGGACAGGGATTGGGGAAGAGGAAGCATCACCACACTCAACCCCACCCACCGGCCATGGCAATTAGCTCAGAATCTGGCCCAGTGTCCCACATCACTGCCTCCTTCCTCCTTCTCTCCCCTCAGCGAGATTCAAGGGGCCGTCCCCTTAGCTCTCGAGGCCTTGCCTGTCTCCCAGCTGGGAGAGCGGAGCAAAGACACTGGAGCTGGGGGTGGGAGACACCCCATGAGCTGCGGGGCTGCTCAGATGAATCCTTCAGGTCTCAGAGACCCGGAACCAGAAGCCACAACCACCCCAGTTTGGAAAGGAGGCAGCTGAGACCCAGAGAGAAAGGAAGGGATCTGCCCATGACCAGGACGCATGTCCCTGGAAGGCTGGTTCCCACTGGGCACCATCCAGGACTCCTGGGAGGCCTCACCTTCCAGAGCCCACAGGTGATGCTTCACGAGCCCCACCACCTCCTGCCTGTCCTCTGAGAGCACGAGCCCGAAGCCGGCCAGTAGGTAGGAGACGTCCGTGTTGATCCCTGCCCTCACCTTCTGGATGGTGGGTACCACGCCCACCAGCAGTAGCAGGACCACCTGGAAGAGCCCCACAAGGAAAGTGCCAGGGCCTGGCTGTGCTCACGCAGGGCCCACATCCCAGATGAAGCGTTTCCTCAGCTCACAGGGAAACTTCAGGGCAGAAACTCCGGCCCCACACGGGCTGCACCCCCATGCCCTGCAACCATCAGTGTTCTTGGCCCTGAAGCTGTGTCTCACCAGCATGTTGCCCAACAGTCCTAACAGACCACAGCTGTGCTTCCAAATGGCACAGCTCTCTACCTACACCTCTGCCTACCTATCAGTCCTGTCTTTATTGAAGCTGCGGAATATAAAATTTCCAATTTCCCACATTGGCAAAAGCCAAGTATCCTATAGACGATCTCAGGCATTGAAGCTAGACAGACCTGGGCTCGTATCTTAGCTACCTTGAGACCTTAGCTGGAGGAACTTGGCTGAGTCAAAGTCACCTCTCTGAGCCTCAGTTTCCCCTATGTGCAAAGTGGAGAAAAATCACACCCACCTCCCGGGATTTGGGCTTTCCGGTTTTCTGGGGACGGCAATGGAGGGGAGGATTTCTCAAACACGTATTATTTACAAACTACCAAATCTGCCTAAATCTTCCCAAACTGCTCAGAGAGGAAAGCAATTCTATTTCTTCTATTTCACAGCTGAGCTAATGGGTTCAGAGATGTTGAGTAACTTGCCCAGGGTCACACAGGAGGTAAATAATGGAGCAAGGGTTTAGACCCAGGCTTGGCAGTTGGGGGCAGGGGTCCAGAGACAAATGGCACGACAGGGGCAGGACCTACCTGATAGATGGCTGTCCCTGTCAAGGTGGCTGAAAGCACCAGCTTCAGAGGGAGTCGGAATCCTGCAGTCCCCAGAAGGAGGGATGTGGTAAGCCCCAGCCTCCCCTGCCCCCAGGCCCGGGGGCCTCTTCCCTCCCAAAGGACCCAGGTAAAGGGCTAGGTCTTGCAGGACCCCAGACCACCAAAGCCAGTCCAGGGGCTTCCCTTTGTCCCCAGCTGGGGCTGTTCCTCCCAACCAGGTTCTGGGGGACGGGAGCTGGACTTCTGCGGCAGCTGTTCCTTGCAAGGCATGGGTGAGGTCACCTGCCATTCTTAACCTCAGCTCCCCACTCCGTACCTCGCTGTGGAGTATAGATGTAGTTTCTGTAACAGATCCAGGCCCAGGATCGGAAGCCCTGCTTGGAGGTGTGGGAGCTGCAGAAAGACAGAGGCAGCCAGGCGCCCTCAGGAGAAACCCCAGCCCTGAGCCCAAGCCCCAGAGTTTGGGTTCTTCCTCACTGTGCCCCACCTGCTCCCCAAACTAGCCTGCCAGCCAGCCCTGCTCACTGGCCCAGAGGGGGTGCCTGGGACCTCACCTGCTTCGCAGCTTCTTCCGGCAAAGGAGGGCCCTCAGATATTCCTCACAGTAGCGGCTTGGCAGCCCCTGTGGAGACAGACGGACGAGCAGATGAGACCTGCATGGAACCATCCAGGGGACCCTGGCTCAGGGTGCCACAGTGGGCACATGGGGCTTGAGAAAAACCTCTTGGCTATGGCGGGGTGCAGAGAAGGGCCAGCCTGTGGGGATGAGGTCCATGCCCCCCCCCAAAAGCTGCCCTTTCTCCTCCACAACTAGGAGACAAACCATTCTCTTAAGAACACTCCGCACTGAGCAGTTCGTCCTAAAGGCTATCTCCAACTCTCTCCTGCTTTACTCTGTCCCATCTGTTCACTGCTTCCCCCCTGGCCTCTGCTGGCTGAGACTGGGGCAAAAGGGAGCCTAAGTCCCATGCACACATCCCCAAGCAGGACACAGGACGGGGTCATTCCAGGCCACATACCCCAGGCCTCACCTGCTACTCTGGGGAGATCACAAGCGCTATGGGATTTGTCTAAACCACATCACAAGGGTGATGGGATTTGTCTAAACCACCTTCCATGGGGCATCTGGGTGGCTCAGTCATTAAGCATCTGTCTTCAGCTTAGGTCATGATCCCAGCATCCTGGGATCGAGCCCCGCATCTGGCTGCTTGCTCAGCAGGGAGTCTGCTTCTCCCTCTCCCACTCCCCCTGCTTGTGTTCCCTCTCTCGCTGTCTCTCTGTCAAATAAATAAATAAAATCTAAAAAACAAACCAAAAAACCCCAAACACACATTCCAGGCCATTAGCCGCCTGCCAAGTGCAGAGGCCCGTGGTAAGATGGGGTGAGCCCCTGCCCCCATCGGTTGGAGAACACAAGCCTATCACTTGTTGTCATGGCAACCCAACACACACACACACACACACACACACACACACACACACACACACACCCCACCCAGGGAAGGTGTGGGTCAGCTCAAAGCTTGACTGGGACCTCTGAGGCTTAAACCTCTCTGCTGCAGGGCTGAAGAGGATTTTATCTCCCAGGACTTCTCAGGAGGACAGGCATGCCTGGAGGGAGAGGTAAGGCATCGAAGATCCCTGGAGGAGGAGGGAGAGGGCCCCAGGGGGAGAGATGTGACGGGTACCCTAGGGGAGACTCCCCTCTTCTGAGCCAGCTGTAAAAGTAAGGGGACATCGGGCTCCCCCGGAGGAATATGACCATCAGGACGGCAGCTGCGACTGTCCTTGAGGTCCCTACTGCTCCCCAACCCAGAGTTGGTGGGCCCGTGGAGGACCCAGGGCGGCCGCTGGAGGACCTGAGCTGGCAGGCCTCTCTCTCCCCATCTCCTTCCCTCCTCAGGGTCCTCTTTGACTTCCATGCCAGCCCCTCTCCCAAGCTCCAGACCTGCAGTCTAGCTGCCCACCCCAACCCCACGCTGGTGCGTCAGTCCCCATGCACCTGCCCACACCCAGCCCTCATCCCTCAGCAGCTGGACCCCCAGCGGCTCGCTGCTCTGTCCTCTCTGCCACCCTGCGAGCTTGCCTTCACCTTCCCCGACTGAAGAGTGACCGAGCCCCTTGGCATCTGTGTCCTTAGCCTCTCCTGAAGCTGTCCCCCTCCTTTTGAGGGTCTCTGTGGGGTGGATTTCTTCTTCTTTCTCTCCTACTGAGAAGAGCACTTGACCCTGTCTCCGCCCACACCCGTGGCCTTGGGCGGGGCCCCGGCTGCACTTCTCACGTGGCACAGTGACCAGTGACCCGACCATCTGTTGCTGCCCGCATCTCCCCAGCCCCTGGGAGCCCCTGGGGGTCAAACACAGGTCTGCAGCTCTGAGTTCGCGGTCCCTCGCTCAGGGCCTGACATTTGGTGGGCACTTAGAAGGCTTCTTAGTAAGATCGCCTTGTCTTGTAAGAATTCTCTCTCACTACGATTTACCCACCGATCCATCTAAAACTTCTGAAGTAGCTGCTGAGTATCACTATGCACCAAGACATGACCAGTGCTACAAATTATACGTGCACAAAACAGACACAATCCGTCTCTGTGCCTTTACTCCCCCTCCCTACACCTGCAAGGCCTTCTCCTTATTCTCTTCCTGCTCCATATCCTCCCTGTCCCTCAGGACCCCTACTGAAGTCTACCTCTTCCAGGAAGCCCCCCAACCTGCCTCAGTTCTCCCTGCCCACCCCTTTATCTGACTTTATCCAACCATACCCAGCCTAGAACTGATTCATAATGCGACTGTACCCCGGGAGCTTCCTGGGCATCTGCAGAGCTCCTTGGAGGCACAGTCTCCTGGCCTATCTCATTTCTCCGACTGGAGCCTCTGTGTTTCGGAAGCAGAGCTCAGACTGCCCTGTCCTCTGATCCATGCCTCCTCTGTTGACTCCCCACTGTGCCTGCTGCTGGGTGCCCCCAGGGATCCCGGGTGCCAGCCAAGGGCATGGTCCAGAGTTCAGTCCAGGAGGGAGGACTAACCATCACTTGGTGACTCAGCAAATATTTTCTGAGCACCTGGGCCCACACACAGGGACCCAATAGCAGTGCAGGGGTTCAGGGTGTTCTGAGTGCTAATAGGAGCCCAGCCCAGCCCTGCCTTTTTACCTCAGAACCTGCTCCTGCCATGTTCCGGAAACTTCTCACCAGCTGCACCGGGTACCAAAGGCTCAGGAATCCGAGGCCCAGAAGCAGAGGCAAGGAAGCCAGCAGGGTGTAGTACTTGTAGATCTAGACAGACAGACAGAGCCCCCAGACATACATACCTTCTACCTTTCTCCCCCAACAGAAGACCAGGATCCACTTCCCTTTCCACTTCACTCCCACCCAGCTGACGGAGGTCTTCTCATGCCTGCCCCAACCCGAGTTACTCAGCACAAACACTCCCACTCCCCTTCTGAGGCCCTGTGGACATGCTCCCCCTTCTCCCGGGCTCCTGGACTCCCACAGCCCTTAGAGGAACTTATATAATTCCCTCCTCCCTGTCCCAGGGGGCTGCCGTGGGACCTGAGACCAGGGATACCCATTTGCTATGTTCCTTTGTTCCTGGGCTTTGGGCACAGGCCCCTGAAAACTAGACAAAGGCCTAATTTTGACTGGGTACAGTTGCGACCTGGGCATCAGGGAAGTCCAAGCCTTACCCCCTGGGCACTGAGTCCTTCCTGGGGCTGGGCCCCTTCTGCATTCACTCAGTTATTTGTTAACTCAATCTGTTTTTACTGACAGCTCAGTATGTGCCCAGTTCTGGGTGGTGAAAAAGACCAACCCAGTCCCCCCTCTCAAGAAAACCAACCAATCATCTCTACCCTGGAGGATAGGTGTTATCAACTCCATTTACAGGGAGGGAAACTGAGTCTCAGAATGGTGACACGGTTTCCCCAAAGCACTTAGCATCACCTGGCATCATTCGCTTTATTTATTTTTTGTATCTGCCCTTCTAGAATGGCCACTCTTGGGACGCTAGGGACTTCATCTGTCCTGTCCACAGCTATATTCCACTGCTGGGATGTGTCCCTGGTACAGAATATGCGCTTCAAATATGTTTGTGGAAGGAAGGGAGGGAGGGAGGGAGAAGATGGTTCAAACTCAGGTTGTCTGGCCTGAGGCCTGTGCCTCCACCCTTCAGGCGCTCCCAGCCAGCAGCCAGTGAGGTTCTAGAATTCTCTTTTCAGCCCTCCAAGACCATCCCCCAACTCAGGGCTCGCCTTCCTCCATCTCCTCCCTCCCACTCCCGCCTGGCCAAAGGAAGGCTGGGGAATCAACAATGGAGGGATTTCAGGCTCCCTCTTGCTCCCCCTTGGCCCTTTCCCCCTCCCCGCCCCCTCCCAGGCTGGAAGCTCCTGCAGGCAGTCCCAAGGGACAGTCCCTTGTCCCCTGCTCTTGCCACAGAGGGCCTGTGTTCACAGGAGTGGAATTCGGTGCACAGAAGGCAGCGGAGACGTCTAGCATGTAAGTAAGAGGACAGGAGCTGCACTGGTTTACGCAGGTCCTTCCTGCCCCTCTGCCTCAGGCTGTTGCGAGTCAGTGGTTACCTTGGGTGTCTGAGGACACTGTGCCCTCTGCCAGATCTGGACCCCGAAGTGAGCCCAGGACAGCACGCCGCCGAGCAGGTGTGCGGCTCCGCGCTCGACTGTGGCACAGGCGGCCAGAGGGTAGTAGAGGGCAGGGTAATAGAGCAGGGCGAGGATCTTCCAAGGCCCTGGAAGGCAAGATGGGTCCAGGGAGACACGTGGTGGAGAGGCAGGTCCCTTCCCGCCTCCCCCTTCTGAGCCCGCATTCAAATTCAGGTTCTGACAGTCACCAGCCTTGGCGATCTCCAGCAAGTTACCTCTTGGAGTCTCCGTTTCTCCATCTGTAAAATGGAAATAATAGCGGTCTATTACCCAAGACAAAACGAGAAAGTAGATGTACAGTGCTTAGCACAGCACTTAGTCAGTTGTCAACAGACTAAGCTACGACTTCCTTATTGTTCCTTCCCCTGACCCCCAGCAGCCTCCAGCGTGAAACGAGCTGCCATCCTCACTGAGCAGAGTCACTGTGAGCACTGGCTGATCACAAGAGGTCATGTTGAGGACAGTGGCCCCTCTTGGTGGCAGCTGTCCTTGTGCGGTCACTTCCTCGAGTCCAGCCCAATTGTCCATAACCCCTCCTACTTCCTTCCCATCCTCCTTCATTCTCGGAGGCCTGTGCTGTTCTGGGCAGGGGTTGGCACAAGAACAGAGAAGGTAGCGAGGGCAGTAGTGACCCAGCAGCTGGGACGAATGAAGGGCCGGTTTCGTGCACGGCGGCTGGGAGGTCCACACGATAGCATCTTCTCGGCAGTGGCTCAAGTTGGGGATGGGAGCTCCCTGACTCACTACAGAAGAGCCCGCCCCATGCTCCGGATGCCCACTCAGCCCATCCCACCAATCCAGCCCAGAGCCTCAGCTGTGCTGGGTACCTTGGCTGGGGGGTGAAGCCAAGGTCAGGAAGGGCAGCGGGTCCTCTGCAGGGAACAGCAAACACAAGGAGCTGAAGAGGACCACGAAGACAGCCACAGGCACTGTCCAGGTTGTGTCCCCCGCCAGGAAATCCACGGGGCTGGTGCAGAGACAGGGACAGGACAGGAGGAAGCCGCTTGGGCCCTGCACCCCCATTCCCCCATGCCACATTCCATACATCAGGGGGGTAGAGATGGAAACTTTCCAGATGGAAACTGGAGGCCCCATCATCCATTTATTCCTCATGTATCAGTGGGGGGCCTCCTGTGCACCAAGCTCTGGGCCCTGTGGCCAAGTGACTCAAGAACTACCCCGTCCCCCACCCCCATACACAGGCACACAGCGGGAACAAGCCCGAGCGGCTCCCTCCGCCCACCCTGGAAGCTCCAGGAAACAGCTGCCTCCACACAAGTCAGTCTGTCTGGGCTGGCAAACCTTCAGAGAGCTCGGAGAGTCACAACATCCTTAGGCAACAGCCCCCACCCTGGCCTGGGTGTGGCCTGGGGCAGAGGGCACACAGCGGGCACAGCTGTCCCAGGCATCAGCCCTCTGGGCTCAGGGCAAGCCACTCAGACCCTCTGCTTCTGTCCAGCTTGACTTCATGCCCTGAGGCCAACCGCCTCCTTCTCCACCCTAGGCAAGGCAAACTCTTACCTGGGCCCACCAGTGACAGATACCCAGGTGAGTTCTCCACCAGACCATCATGGCGGGACTCACCTTGGTATGTGACCTGGGCCTGAGGGTCAAGGCTGTCTACACTGGAGCTCCAACTGCCACCTCCCCCAACCCTTTGGTCTCTCCCATATGAGCCTGCCTAGTTCCACCTCAAGGTCATCCCTGTCCCAGGCTCTGGGGTTGTAGGACAGAAGGAGACAGGGAAAGAAAGTCCCAGCCATGGGACTGGGCTGGGATCTGTCCCTCATAATCTACCATTAAGCATCAGGGACTGGGTGAGGCCCTCAAAGGAAACAAGGGTCAAGATGGCATGGGATGGCCATCGCCTGTCCAGACCATGGGCCACCGAAGGAAATGCATCCAGGAGTCAGGCCCTGTTGGGCTGGTGTCTCCTTGGGTCTGGGACAGGAGCAGGTGGGCCTGAGTGGGGCCCTCCCCTTCCCTCTGGGGCTCCTGCCTAAACCTGGAGGTCCAGGTCAGTGTAGTAAGAGCCCCTCAGTGCTGAAAGCAGCACTGAGGCCAGAGCAGACTTCTAGGTACCTAACAAACCCCCACTGCCCCAGAGTGGCCCTATCAGCTGGGCCACCCAAGTGGGGGTGCCTGGGCCTTGGCACCAACTGGAACTGTCCAGATCTGCCGAGCCCGCAGCAGGGCCGGGGCCGACGCACCCTCGTGAGCACAGCCAGCAGCAGCAGCACAAGGATCTGAAAGGAGAGCACAGAGCAGGCCATGGGTGCCCAGACCTTCCCTGGGGGCTGAGACTGAGGGCTTGGCCTCCACGCCCAGGACACCCCTACCCCCCAGGGCACAATCACGGGGCATATTGGGGACTGGCCAAGAGAACAGTGACAAAGAGAGATTGGACTTTGGCCCACATCCTGGTTTGGGTCCCCACCCTGGGAGAACTCCCAGAGCTGGGGCTCCTGGGGTCCCCCTTGGCCAGCCCCAGCAGGGAACACAAGCCCCCTCCAACCCCTGCCCCACCGCCCCAGCCAGTCTGGCAATGGGTGGGTGAACAGGTTGGCCTCGGGATAGACTCACCGACAGCACAGCCAGGCAGGCGTGGAGAAGCCCCAACAGCACGCTGGGGTGGCAGGCAGGCACCACTCTGCAGAGCAAGGCAAGGCTGGGTCAGGCCTGTATTGGGATACCCCAGGTGTGCAGCCCCTTTGGGCTTCCAGGCTGTTGACCCTGGGGCTCCGCCCACCACCTCCCTCAGCCTCTGATCTCTCTTCTGCAAGCTGGCCCAGCTCAGCCTTCTCAGGCTCATTCCAGGGTTGCAGGCCCCTCATGTTGCACCAGCCCCAGGCCAAGCTCTGAGGTTACAGGGTTGAAGGAGACAGGGCCTCCCAGGGGAAGGCATGGGAGAAACAGAGCAGGCCAGCTCAACCCCGACCTGGGGCCCTCTTCTTTCTCACCCGTTCTTCCCGGCCTTCAAGGCCACTTCACCCCCCCTCCTCTGGGAAGCCTCTGACCGCTTCAGGCCTCCCAGACCTCTCCTTCTCAGAATTGTGGCTGAGCCTCTCATCTGGGTGGAGCATTCAAGTGTTTGGTCCTAGGCTTTGCCTTGTGGCATTTGATTTGAGTTTAAAAGGTGGTTGGCATCTTTTGAGGCAAAGAGGCAGAAAGGGAGCTCCGTGTAGAGGGAGGAACATGAGGACCGGAAGCAACAGGGAGCAGATGGCACGGGGAGGCCAGGCAAGGCTTTCCGTTTGCCTGCAGTCTCTAGGGTTGTGGGCAGGCCGGGAGCAGGTCACAGCCGGCATGGGAGACACTAGGGAGCCATGGAGGATGTTGGAGCAGGCCGGTGTTCTGAATTTGGGATTTCTGTGGCCCACTTTGAATAATAACAACAGCAGTAACTAGCACTCACTAGGAGTTGACTATGTGCTCTTTGTTCCATGTGTTAACTGGGGTACTACTGGCCAGGTCAGTGTTACTATTATCCCCCTTGGGTAGACAAGGAGACCAAAGCTCAGAGAGGCAAAGTATCCTGCCCAAGTCACACAGGTAGGAAGATAGCAGAGTAAGGATTCAAACTGAGGTCCTCTGGCTGCAGCACCCACATCTGACCGGGAGGAGAGAGGTAAGAAGTATGGAAGGAAGTTTTAAGTTGAACCATATGAAAGCCTCATTTCTACACGTCAAAAACAGTTGAAAATCCGCATTGTCAAGGAGTTGAGCATCAGCAGCGACTTGGGAAGGGAGACAACAGGCTGCCCCTCAGAGATGTGTAGGAGGAAGAAGGTACATGCCTGAGATGGAAGAGCAGGGGGGAGGGGAGTTTCCAGAATGATCGCAGACTTCTAGGCCCTATTCCAAGAGGAGAAGTGAGGACCAGAATCACAGGCAGCCCAGGAAGCGAGGCTTGGTCTCAGACACTCAGAGACAGAGGCCGGACTGCAGAGTGGTGAGGACACTGAGATAAGGAGCAAGACAGCTGTTTCCAGAAGTCAGTCTCTGAGAGGGAGCCTACAAAGGGCCCTCAGAGGGGAAGGCAGAGCCCTGATACCCATGCCTCTACCCCTCACCCCACAGCAGAAAGGCCTGCAGATCACCCTGGTGTTGGCCTCCTGCCAGGAGGGCAGGCCAGGAGGGAAACCTCCAATGCCCCAGGCAGCCCTTTGAAGTGGAGGGGAGGTGAGTATCATCCTGGACAGCTGCCACAGGCATTCATGTCCCCAGGCTCTGGCTGAGAAACTTAGTATTAGTGGTAAGTGGATAACATGTGGGCAGATATCAGGCTGGGTACATGACCCGGTTGGGGGTGGGGGAGCTCCAGGGGGCTCTAGGAGTAGGAAAGGGCTGGCTGGGCTGCCACGGATCAGTCCCGTGCCCACAGAAGACCCCGGAGGACACATCCCACCCCATCATACTCATTCCCCTCCCAATCTTTTCAACCAGGACTTTCCACCAGGAGGGCACCTGGACAAGTGAGACTTGTCCAGGAGACTGAGTCCGACCAGCCACTGTCACCAGCGCCTACCAGCCCGAACCCCAGCCTGCGGGGGCACCCTGAGGTACAGAGGGGGCCCACCATCAGGAGCTCCTCGAAGCCTCGGTGCACCATCTCCCTGGGTGTCTGACTCACTCAGGGAGAAGTGGGCCCAAGTTCATCTCCTTGGGATTCCCCTTGAGCTTCCATTTTTGGGAGTGGAGCTTGGGGGACAAGCAGCACCACTAGGATTATAGTAAGTAGAGTCAAAAACAAACCTCATTCTTCCCTGAGGTGGGAGAAGGTGGCTACAGGTCCCAGACGCCTCACACATCAGAGCCAGTGCTCCCCATCACCCAGGCCCTGCTAGGTACCCCACTTAATTCTGAGGCCAGAGCTGAAGGACAGGACACAGCAGCAGCTTCAGTCTTACCCCAGATCAGGAGCCATATCCTCTTGGCTTCTGAGGCCCCTCCCCATTCTGCTGCTTCTCCCACTCCAAAAATGTGCAGCAGGGACCAGAGGAGCCCGCAGGCTGTCCAGATCAGCCAGGGACGGGCGAAGGAAACACCCCTGCTGACACAGAGCTACTGACCAGGTGGCCAGCGCCCTGAGTCCTCCCAGCCTGAGGTCTAGATGAGGCCTCTGTCCCTGCCGGGTGACTCAAGACGGGCCAGGCCACAGCCCCAGCCCTCTGGGAGGCACGCCAGCCTTTCTCCTTTTCTAGTGTCGGTTGTTGATGGAAAGCAGGTGTGTGCACATCTGGCTCAGTCAGCCAACACCGCCCCCCTCACCTTTCCAGTTCCCCAAACCCTCAGAGAGAGCAGGGAGGTGGGGGATGGGGCGAGGGCCAGGAACAATAAGGGGAGAACTGGGCTCTGGGGCCCACACAGACCAGGCATCCTTGGCAGCCTGTGGGGCCCAGGGAGGCCCAGCCCCTCTGCCAGGGGGCTGCCCAGACTAAACAAAGATAGGGCCTGGCAAAGGGAGCCGCATGTCCTCTGGCCACACAGGACTGGGCTGAGGCTGCTTCCCTCCCCTGGGCTTGCCTGAGCACTCCTGCTAAAGAGAAAGGCTCTCCTGATTTTCATGGAGACTCAGAGCCCGCCAAAGGCATGGGGGCGCCATCTTTCCTCAAGGACCCTCCCCCCCAGGCTTTCTTCCTCAGGCCTCCCCCTGCCCTGGGTTGGGCAGCGAGGCTGACAGTTGGCAAACAAGGCACCCCAAATGGTCACCCTAGGGACAAGCAACCCCTTGAAGGCAGGCGGAGCTTCCCTCATCCACTCAGCCGGCACTCTGCCTCCCAGCCACTGGCCAAAGCCGCCCCAAACCGGCTAGATCTGAATTTGCAAGGAGTAGGCCTGGGAGGTTGTATTTTTAACAAACCACACAGGTGCTTTTTAAGTGACAGCCTGGCCCAGGACCTTGCCCAGGGGGCTTCCCCGTCCCCCCATCAGAAACCTCTGCCACACCCCACCCTGCAGGCAGACAGACTTACCCCTCTGGCTGGAGCTCCTGGTCCCCCTGGGGCTCATCGATGTACCAGTTGGAGTAGTCATCTGTGACCCCAGAGGAGGTCTGGTTCCCCAAGGTCTGGGACGACATTCTCTGGGCTTTCTTCTCTGCCCCCCCCCTGTCCCCTGGACAAGTGGGGAAAAACCACTACAGATGTGAAAAGAGGCTTAGGGAGAAAAAAAAAAAGAAAGAAAGAAAGAAACCAAACAAAGAAGCGTTTCTTTTTAATCCTGAAGGTTACTTTCTTGCTTTTAGCTCTCTGGGAAAAGCCTGTCTGGGAGAGAGGGCTTGGGCCGGCTAGCACGGGAAAAGGGGAAGGGCTTCTCGAGTCCCTTCCCGTCCCTTCCCGCCCCGTCTTGCCTGCTCCTGCAGGAGATAGTTATCCCCTTGGGACGAGTGTGCCCCTCAGGGTCCTTGGGCTCTTGCTGGAACGCCTGACTGTTCGTCTGACCACCAGCCTCTGTGCAAAGGACCATTTTCAAAGAAAGTTTGTCCAATCCAAGCTGCCCGCATAGACACCCCCCTTCCTTTCCCCTCCCCAAAGCCACCCAAACGACCCACAGACACACACTCAAGGAAGGGCAGGGAGGAAGGAGCTACAGAGATGAAAGGGTGGGCGGGCAGCAGGCGGGCCCAACCCAGCTGGACCCTCCCAGCTGGGATCCAGGTCCCTCCTGCCCTCAGGGGTCAGCCCCATCCCCCTCTTTGTTTGGCTCCCTGCTCAGACCACCTCCCCACCCCCACCCCCAGCCTTAGCCTGCCCCTTTCTGGCTCCTTTGGCCCTCAGTGATGGAATCATATCATGGTCCTGACAAAGTGTCCCTTCCAGGTAGGAGGCCCCAGCTCCACCCGTAGCTGGAGCCCCCGAGAGATGGGTCCAGGAGGGTCCCAGGCAGCTGGCCCAGCTCACATACCTGCCTCCTGCGCCTCCCCAAAGCACCTACACCTCCGGCCTCTGCATCTGCAGGGTCCTACGCACACACAGTCCAGCATGCAGCAACCCAAGGAGACAGCTGGGGCTGGACCAGGGGTGGAGGCAGGGAGGGGGAGCCTTTCCACTCCTTCCCCTGGGTTTCCATGAAGGAGGCAACATGTGTCTCACTGGTAAAACCTTCTAGTTTCTCCAACTTGATTTCAAAAGGAGATAACTCACCCTCTTGAGGCAGAGATTAGGCCTTTAAACACAAACCAGACCAGCGGGTAAGCAAGAAGAACCCCTCCTGCCTTGGGCTCCTCCCACGCTGTGGGGTGAGGTGAGGAAGGCTGGGCCCAGGCAGAAGCTAGGGCTTCCTCCTTCCTCTCCATCCCCCCCCAACCCAAACCCCAGCCCAAGAAGCTGTACCTCTGGCTGGCTCCCCTCCCCCAACTGGCCCCAGAAGGGAGACAAGATGCAGATAAAGACAGTGAACTGTTCTCAGGCCCTTGTCCCTGGGCGGGGGTCAGGCCCCCTAAACAAGTCCCTGTCTTTCCAGTTGCCCTGGGAGGGCCCTGGGCCCTGGCCCTCTCCAGCTAAGGCACTCATTCCACAAGTTTTTGGTTTTTTTTTTTTCTAAAGGCATTCATCCATTTATTCTTCTAGCATAAATTCATTGAACAACTACTAAGTGCAGGCATTATTCTGGACCCTGGGATGTGAAAGTTGACATTTCCGGGGGGACACTGAAGAGTAGGTAAATAACCACCAGTCTGAGCCTTCCTGTCTACAAAGGGAAGGCACAGAATGCCTGAGGTATACCACAGGAAGCTGAATTTGGTCCGAAAAAAATGGGGGATTCCCGGAAAAAAGAAACCTGATTCACAGAGATCTGAGAACAAGGAAAAGTCAGATGTGTAGAGGGTGTGGGGAAAGGGAAGCGTGTTCCTGGAAGAGGGAACAGCCCCCTGAGGGTGTGTGGGCTCAGCAGAGACAGAGCTTGAAATCCTAAAATCTTCCCATTCAGACCTAGTAGCCAGGCCCATGAAGCCTTCCAGGACTAGGGCCTGAGTGCTCTATTGGCCTTGGCTGCTCCCCTCTCCTTCCCCAATGACCCTCTTCCAGGAAGTGGGCTCAGACACACCTCCCTCACCCCACAGAGTTGTCCGAGGCAGACTCAGAACTGAGCCTAAACTTTCTGTGATGCAATGCAGGAGCCCACACTGCCCATCTGTTCCCGGGAACTTGGGGTGAATCCAGCCTCCGAAGCCTGGCTCTGAGGACCTGGGGGCAGAACGCTGCCTCTTCTCTTCCTCCTCCCTTATTCCGCCAGCGCACACACAGTACAGGCTCTCAGGCAACGAGGACTTTACAAGTTGGGTTTGGCCCAGCCATTGTTCATTCTAGTGACTGTCACTCCTCCACGGACCTGCACTAGGCAGGCCAGTATGTAGCCTCTGCTCCAACTCAGAGCCCCGCATTCCGTTCTCTGCTCAGGAGTTTTGGACTCTCAGCCTAGAGGGCAACTAACTTCTATCTGCTTAGATCTGCCTGGTGGTAACTCCAGCAGTTGGAGTCCAGTCTGTGACAGGGAGCTCTCTCCCTCTATACAAGGCAGAGATGGTCATCGCTGGGCAACTCTGTCAGAAGCTGCTTCCTGCCTGGAGTAAGCCTCCCCCATGTGGTTTGTTCATTCATTCCTTCATGCATCCATTCATGCAACAAAGGTTCATCACATCCCGATGGCACCCCAGGGAAGGTTCTACAAGCTGAGAATGTCACAATAAGAGAGCGACTCTTAACAGGCACTGGGGCATAGTGGGGAGTCAAAGGTGTCAGAGCGATAAGAGGGAAAATAGAGACAGACAGACAGGAGGTGGCTGCTTTAGGCTGGATGGTCAGGGAAGGCCCTTCAGAAGAGGTGACATTTGAGCAGAGACCTGGAGGAAGAGAGGGGTACCTAGCTGGGCACTGAGGAAAGACTTTCAGGCTGCCTGAAGGAGCCTCCCTCCTCCTCAGAGGCTGCAGCCAGCCTGACAGGGAGGGGCGCAGCCAAGCCCAGACCCAGTCCCAGACCCAGTCCCTTCCCCACGCACCTCTCCCCAACCAAACCCCGCTCCGCACGGAAATGGACTTCCAGTGGGTACCTTCCAGCGGCTTCCCCTGAGGGATACCCCAGTGCCCAAGATATAACCTCCCTCCTCAATGGGGAGATGCAGAGGCTGCCTTCTGGGAGGCCCTAACCAGATGTGAGGAAACTGTGAGCTTTGTTCCTCTGCTGAGGGGTGGGCACAGTGGACAGAAGGCAGCACCTTGATGGGGCCCCTTCTGGCAATGGGCAGGAGCTGGCCCAGGAGGAAGGAACACCGTTCCTATAAGGCAATGGGAAGGCCCCTGTTGCAGACGCAGCCTTACCTAGGTTTGAATCCTGGCGCTGGCTGTGTGACTGTGAGGGATTCCCTAGGCCTCTTGGGGTCTCAACCCCTCCTCTGTCCCAGTAGGGGTGGGGCTTCCAGCCTGGAGAGTCTTTGGCTGTGGGCTCTGCTCTCTCTCTCTCTCTCTCTCTCTCTCTCTCTCTCTCTCTCGGCCCCTACTCCCTGCCCTCAATGACTTCATGGCCCAAGAATGCGGAGCCAGCACACCAGGCACTAGCTTTAGCAAGAAGGTCAAAGCCACAGAAGCTGTTACTACCCAGGTGTCCCCTTTTGTCTTCTACCCACCCCCACTCCCCAATCCACGCTGGTAGGGGCAGGGAGGGAGGCAAGCCTGGTCAGAGATCCATGATCCACGGATATCGGGTGGCTGTATGGCTCAGGCTGGGAGGGGGACCCCACTTCTTGACCCCAAAACACCTCCTCAGCTTGGAGCTGGAATGGCTCTGTGCTTGCATCTGTGAAATGGGAGGGTTGGTGCCAAGGTGTCAGGAAAGGTGTCATCTGGCCAGACGGCAGGTAGGCCGGGAAACATACTGGCAAGAGAAGAATGGAAATGAGTTGCTCCTGAAGAATTTCTCTGCCTGGCAGCAGAGTTCACAACTGACCCATGGGAGTTGGCTTTAAAGGTTGACTCAGGCCCAGAAGAGTCAGAGACTGGTACCTGCCGTCAGGGAAGGAGGGGCTGGAGAGTGGAGGGACTTCAGAGACAGACTCCAGAAGCTCCCAGCAGAGAGGTGGCAGGAGGAATAAGGAGATGTCTCAGATAGTCTTGGAAGCTTCCTGGAGGAGGTGTCCTGGAGCAGAACCCCAAAGTCAGACAGGGTCAGCAATGGTAGCAAGAATGAGGTGCCTTAGGAGAGCTAAGAAGGGGAGTCTGGAAGGCAAGAAGTTGGGGCAGAGGTCCGGGCCACCTAGCTGTGGCCTGCGTGAGCCCACATGGGTACATTCAGAAGAAGAGGCTGGTGCCAATACCTGAGGGGCAGGCCAGGACACAAGGGATACAGATTGGGGGTGCCTAAGCTCTGCTCACTGTAAGACAGGGGTCACAAAAAGCTTCTGGGTTCCGAGAAGACAAGGGCCATCTGCTACCTGGGCCTGGCACCAAGCTGCTCTGCTCTGACCCTAGGGCCAGGAGCTGGCCCATAAAGTCCTTGGGACTGGGCTTCCTTCCTCCCCATTGTTATGCCCCAATAATGGGTCCGTGATTAAAGGAGCGAGACTGGGGGCGCCTGGGTGGCTCAGTGGGTTAAAGCCTCTGCCTTCGGCTCAGGTCATGATCTCAGGGTCCTGGGATCGAGCCCCGCATCGGGGTCTCAGCTCAGCAGGGAGCCTGCTTCCTCCTCTCTCTCTGCCTGCCTCTCTGCCTACTGTGATCTCTCTCTGTGTCAAATAAATAAATAAAATCTTTAAAAAAAAAAAAAAAAAGGAGCGAGACTGATACAAAGCGAAGGTCAAGCAAAGCTTTATTTCACGCCAAGCATCAAGAATCTAACCAAATGTTCGGGGCCGCACCTCTTACAAGAGAGGGCGACCCTTTTCTGTTTCACAGTCTAGCTTTTAAGGGCAAAGGCCATGCGGTCGGGCCTGGCCATGCACAGGTGGCCAATGAGATTGTAACACACACAGGAAACTCCACAGTGATGCTAGGTGACCAATTGAGTTACAACTGACCCTAGTAGACATTTGAACTTGATTGGGATTGGCGCCCAAAGGGCGGGGCCCATACTCCTTGGTAACCAGGG